CAGCCCGACCCATTGTGACTAAAACAGAGCTCAGTCTGAAAAATAAGCTCTCGTTGTTCAAGTCGAATTTTATCCCTATGCTTATGGTCATGAGTCGTGGACCATCAGTGATAAAGTTGGAACCCGAGTAGACGTTGCTGAAATGAGCTTTCTTAGACGAATCGCTGGCCTTACGGGTCTCGATAGGGTCGGAATACTGACATCCGGAAGAGCTTTGGTGTACAGCCTTTTCTTCTTGAGATTGAGAAGTCGCTGCTATGATTGTTTGGGCGCGTTTTGCGAATGTCTCCAGAAATGAAGGCTAAGTAAATCTTTGTTGCGGAAACGACCGGTGGAAGGCCCAGGGGAGCGCCAAGATTACCTGGTGCAAGTAGATGGAAGGAGTCTGTTCCAGACTGCAGTTGTCTTCTAACAAAGCTCGGACTCTGGCAGAGGATGGGGAACGTTGGAATCTGTGTCGGACGCGTCTCCCTCCACGACCGGAAAGAAGAGGGACCATGGAAGATGAAGAAGATGAAATTTCTTTCACTCACCGACGTGTTTCGTCGCCGCGCACCAGGGTCGTCTTCGTTTTTATATTGCCCAGTTAAAATAGCCCTTAACTATGATATGAATTTAAGGGATAGTGACATTTGTTCATTTGTTCTCTAGGAGAACTAGCTGAAAACATTCTTTATGACTGAAATTACACGAGCATTCGTTACACATTCGGCTTTTGTTAATAGACATGTCTAGCGACTACCTAATTAATTGTTCGATGTTTATTCTATTCTTGTCAACCAAGGTGACATTCGTCGGATTGAATGAATGTCCATTGTAGAAAGCATTGGAGACGATTGCGCAATGGTCGTTTTCTCGTTCTTCAGAGCTGCTAAACGTTCTTTCACCCTTTTATCCTGTCTTATTATCGTTTCTCAGATATTTATTTTGTCACAGTGATTGCAACTGATCTTATAAGCGACGTTTATCTACATCTTTAACTCGGATTTCATCACTGACGGATTTCGTAAATTCCAGCAGCTTTTCTACTTTTCACGCTTTTCACAACTTGTGTGGTTTCATCTACAGAAATAGTAGTATTATCCATTCTCTGCTGCTCTACAGACCAGTCTTCCTGCTGTTGCTCGGGGTTAAAGAGTTCATCAAAGTACTCTTACCGTCGCCGACGGATGTCTTTATCTTCTGTAAGAGGGTGCCCAAAAATGCTCAGACTGCCCTTCTTTTTACGTCGGAACCAGCGAATGGTCTGCCGCTCGAAGACCGTTTTTCCTGTGGAATTCAGCTGCAGCACCTCACCGAACTTCTCCCAGGAATCAGCTTTGGCTTTTGCCACTGCTTTGGCTGCCGCCTTGCATGCCTCGACATATCGCATGCGAGTAGAAGGCTCTTTGTTTATAAACGATTTCTTAAATGCAGCCTTCTCTTTAATTTCCTGTTGTACCTCTGATGTCCAGCGGGAAGTCTTTTTCTGACCTCCAGGCATCAGACCAACATCCGAAGCTTTCGGCGGCAGCCTCGAGCATGCTGCTCTTTTAGAGCCGCCATTCAGTTTCCACGTCGGTGAACATCACGGGGATCGGTTAAAACTGTTCTATGGTGTGTCTCCCTTCCCTTTTTCAGCGTCTGCTCCGATATGAGCATTAAAATTGCCCATTTGATTGAGGGTCTCCGTAGACGGCACTTCGTACAGAGCACGCTCAACTTCCTCAAGGAAGGACTCATATTCATCCTCCAAATTTGGCGCGTTACCCTGTATCGAGGTTAACGCTTTATCCCGTTGTTGCTTTAGACTGTGGATCGCCACTTTTCCTGACGCGCTTGTATTCAACAATCTTGTCAGCCACTTTGTGG